AGAAATATTTTTAAAAAGTGTAGCACATGCAAACTAATGTTATCATTTAGGGTCTTTTTAATATTGTATGCGTTTTTTTATAAACCCAGATACTGCTCACGTAGATGAGTGTTACATTGGGGTGTGGAGGAGTGTCATCCGTAGACGTCTGGAGCAAAGTAAATACAATGGTCTATTATTCCACTCATCCATGGGAAGCAAAATTTTTGCTCATTTTAACATGTCTCGCCTCTAGTAAAATCATTTGCTTGGTGAGGTAGGGAATTGAATTAGCAGATCCACAATGAAGGGACTGAGGTGGCACTTAAAGCAAAAACACCAGCACCATTTTGCGGTGCCGTCATCCTAACTAGATTTGCCTTCACTAACTTACCACCTCAACGATATGCCAAATGAGAGCCAATCCGCTGACCATATGCTGTCATAATGTCATTTGACTGTGGAAGGACAGAAATATCGCTGACTTTTATGGCATTTCCATTGCGCTGGATTTTGCCTCATAGAAAGTACGAGCGCATGATGGAGGTGGTAAAAAAACTCTTTAGGCCTGTATGTTGCCGCTTTAGTGACGGTGTCACTGCGCCTCCACCTTGACTTTTCTTAATCAACCGGGTCGGCCTAAGGTCATCGCGAGGGCATATACCGGCGGAGGGGGTGGGGCGAAGGGGGCGCGGGATTTTAAAATGCGGCTGCGCCGTGCTCAAGGCGTAAGCAGCACCTGAACTAAGGCAAAGTATGGTGTTTTTGTAGCTGTCCTTCAATATGAACAACAATATGAAAAAACGATAGTTATACTGACCCTTGAGTGTCATTACTGAACAGATGAATACCTGCGAAAAGCACTGTACAAACGAATTGTTGCGGGTCTTCTTCCATGGGGAACACCTCGCCTACTTACACCTTCAAAAAAAGACGCCCTGAAGACCCAATTTTTGAGTGATTCAAATATTTTACATCTATTCCGCAAAATCATGGAGATTTTTCAAGTGTTTACTTTGATAAGATCGAGAAATGCATTTAGCGTAGGTCATATGATAAGATTCTAATACTATGTTCCGGCATGCTTTAATTTTAGATGCGGAAGCGGAGGACGAGACTGATAGGGAACAAATTGCGAAAGCTGCCACAATTCTCTGAAGGCGCCAATTCAAAGAGTGCTGCTAATGATAGCGATCTGAGACAACCGCTGCCAGTCACGACTCAGCAAAGTCCTTTGTCTACAAATCACAGAAAACTGAGTCTGAATCTCGCTACGGCTCAGTCCGATGTGCCGGAGGAAAGGCCAAACGAAAGGAAGGAGCAGGTTTTGGTCTCCGAGATTTGGAAGAATCGACTCAATGCTGTAGAAGAGAATCCCTCCTCTTCTATGGTAGGCAAGGCAGAAGGTACACCGGTGATAAGACAAAATAAGATTTCCTTCCTTGACAAATCAGAGGGGTGGATGAGTAGAGGCAAACAGGAACGTCAGCAAAACCGGCGCATCTCATTGCGTGGGTTCAAAGGGAACTTTGGGCTTCAGAACATGAAGACAGCAGCTACACTCTTCGTTGTGGCCATCGTCTACATTATCGCGTTAATCCCTGCCATGCTAATGGCTATTGGCGTGATTGGAATGTACCTCCCGATCTTCTACATGTACTATGTGAATAATGCGATCAATCCGATCATATACTGCTTCATGAATCCAACCTTTCGAGAAGATGTACAAAACTTTTTCACCGCGCGATTCCGTAGTTTTCACAAGGTTCATTGAGAACAATAAAATGTTTGATTTCCGCATGCAGTTCTGATTTATAGCCGAGTGGAGGGCAGTTGCCTGTACGCATACAAATTTGAGAGGTCTCAAGTAAGTTACCAAGTTGTTGTTAACTATGCATGCTTGGCCAGGGCCTGCTGCAGTCACCCAGTGGAGGTGATTTTGTCAATGCTTCCTCCAACTCTTATTAACAATAAGCATTTGTTTGTTGCAATCATTGGATGTTTTTGAAACGAAATAGATAAAGTGTTTCTATTTAATAAAGGACCTGGAAAGGCGAAAAGAGTTGTGTTTCCATAAAATTTGCTGACTCATGAGACTGAAAAAAGCGTTTATTTTTTTTCCCAAATGGGCGATTCGGAAAAGGAGCTTCATTTTAAAAGGATTGCAGCCTTTGCGCATTTTTTAAATACTATTTTGTTTTTTTGGCTAAGGCAAGTGCATATTTCACGCATAAAATTAGCAATCGCATTTTGAATGGTGAGATGGAGAATTCGATAGTCGTAAACTTGGGTAAAGTCAAGAAGACAACTTGAAACAGGAATGGTTAGCGGACCGTCTTGTGTAGTGCATGCAATTTTACCAAAGGTCAGCATACATGAGTGAG